TTTTCTGCCATTTAAATGCAATATAAAATATTCAGAGTACTCATCACATATATATGTTGTAATTATTTAAAGGAATTTTTAAAAGTTTCTAATGTAAAAAGGGAAGAACATTTATTTTTGTCGATATAGTTCTTCTATATTTGATTCCTGATTTCAAGCCAGTTAAGAGTTAAAATGGAAAATTTCCATTGCTTTTGCTGCTCTAACTCACTGATAAGGGGCCTGGTCTGACATATTAATAACAAAAGTACCATAGTGTTGCCTAATGTTTTCTAACTTCTCTGCCCGTGTTTAATTCATCCTTTTACAAAATTTAGCATAAGCTCCTCATATTTAAGTTAGATGAACATGAATCATACGTTTGCTTTTTTGGTTATTTGATGTCTTAGTGGGATAGAGTCATTCTTAGTTGAATTCAGTAGACTAGGTATTAGGGGATACAAAGATGCAAACATACAGTTATTACCCTTAAGACCCTTACTGATTCCTGAGAGAATACTCAGGAATATATAAATAGTTGATAATATCAGAGTATAAGCTCTGTGTGAGGTTCAGAGGTGTGTGGAGGTGCAGAAGAGGGAGGAGGGCAGGCAAGCAGAGGCATCTCACGAGTAGACAGGAGTCAGAGAGACAGGAATGTGCATGAGTCGTCTTAGAATGGTGAATGGTCCCGAAGGAAAGTAGTAGTGAGATTGGAAAAGTAGGTTGTGGTGCTGGGGGGTGATAGGTTTCTGAATACTAAGTTAAGGTGTTAAACTGGATTCTTTTTTTTTTAAGATTTTATTTATTGATTTGAGAGAGAGAGAGAGTGAGCACATGAGCAGGGGGAAGGGGCAGAGGGAGAGAGAATCTCAAGCAGACTCCCCACTGAGCAGGGAGCCCAACGCAGGGCTCGATCCCAGGACCCTAAGATCATGACCTGAGCTGAAGGCAGACGCTTAACAGACTGCGCTACCCAGACACCCCTAAACTGGATTCTTTTTTTTTTTTTTAAAGATTTTATTTATTTATTCATGAGACACAGAAAGAGAGAAGCAGAGGGAGAAACAGGCTCCCAAGGAGCAGGGAGCCCAATGCGGGACTCGATCCCAGGACCCTGGGATCATGACCTGAGCCGAAGGCAGACGCTTAACCATCTGAGCCACCCAGGCGCCCCCCTAAACTGGATTCTTAAAGTACTCAGGAGCCTTTAATTTTCTAGAGGAGAGAACATAAATACGAATTTGGTGGTAGCAATGAAATGGCCACTGAGTCTCCCAAGCATTTTAGATCTAGATTAGCCATTCAGAAACACAAGAATATGATGCTGTTGGTCAATTCAGAAGCATGTACAGTTTGTTTCCAAAGTATTTTTTTTTTTTAAGATTTTATTTATTTGTCAGAGAGAGAGAGAGCACAAGCAGGGGGAGCAGCAGAGGGAGAAGCAGGCTCCCCGCTGAGCAGGGAACCTGACATGGGTCTCAATCCCAGGACCGCAGGATCATGACCTGAGCCACCCAGGCGCCCCTAGTTTGTTTCTTAGTAGTAGTTCCAGGTTTGGTCCTAAACCAGTCACATGTTTCACTTGGTCGCCATTTTATTTACACAAGAGTGAACTAGGGTGGCAAGTTCAATATGTATTTAGAAGAGAATTTCTCTCCATGAGAAATGAATTGGCCTGACTAGGTATCAAGTCATTTCATTCAAGTTTCTGGCTTCATTAGTTCTCTAGTCAACCAACAGAGCTAGACTCTAAATAGAAATTGCCATCTGGGGGCGCCTGGGTGACTCAGTTGGTTAAGCTTCGGCCTTCGGCTCAGGTCATGATCCCAGGGTCCTGGAATCGAGTCCCACATCAGGCTCCCTGCTTAGTAGGGAGCTTGCTGCTCCCCCTGCTTGTGCTTGTGCTCTCTTTCTCTCTCTCTGGCAAATAAATAAATAACATCTTTAAAAAATATATCTATAAAAAAATAGAACTTGCCATCTGTCCAAATAGAAATCAAAAAGGTAAAAAAATACATATATGTCTTCAAATATAGAACAATTATTGATTCCATTACTTATTTTCTTTTTAGCAAAATCATTTAAAATTTAATTCCCCTCATTTATAAGGGATCTTAAGTCTAACAACATAGTTTTGAGTATAATTTTTAGGCATGTAATTTTGCTAGAAAAAAATGAAAATTTAATTGATACTTTGGTCTGTTATATCTGTAGGTGTTTATATCATGATCATTTCTGGTATGCCAAATTATTAGTTTTAAATGACTTTTATATGGGTGGCTCAGTCGGTTGAGTGTCCGACTCTTGGTTTTGGCTCAAGTCATGATCTCAGGGTCGTGAGATCAGGCTCCCTGCTCAGTGGAGGGTCTACTTGAGATTCTCTCCCTCTACCTCTCCGTCTGCCTGTCCTCCACTCACCCCCACTTGCGTGAGTATGCTTGTGCGCGCTCTCTCTCAAAATCTTTTAAAAAATAAATAAATAAATGACTTTTATGGAACTTAGCTAATTTTTATAGTTTTTTCCCTGTATTTTTTAATAATCAGTTATAAATTACTGTCAAGTGCTGAGTTAGGTATACTTTGTATTTATATTTATATGTAAGTATATAGTATATACTTTGCCCCATTGGACCCTTTTGACAGCTTTGCAAGATGTGAATTGTTAGCCCTTTTTTACAGATGAGATGTCTCACCTCATTGTAAGGGGCAGAGTTTTTTTTTTTAAAGATTTTATTTATTTATTTGACACAGAGAGAGAGAGAGCACAAGCAGGGGGAGCAGCAGGCAGAGGGAGAAGCAGGCCTCCCGAGGAGCAGGGAGCCCGATGTGGGGCTCGATCCCAGGACCCTGGGATCATGACCTGAGCTGAAGGCAGACGCTAAACGACTGAGCCACCCAGGCGCCCTCCTCCTAATTGGTCCCCTGTATGCTAAGGATAACAACGTAACATGCATGATACTGCAGGAACCAAGTAGCTTAGAGTTAAATGGATTCCGTATTAAATTTAATTATTCTAGTTCTTATCACTAATCAAAGTGAAATAGCCTTTTAAATAATCCTATTAGCTATGATCACCTTTTAAAACCCTGTCAAGCTGGTTATAACAGCATGAGCTGAGTACTGCTTCTTCAGGGTCAGTAGTCATAGCTCCGAGACTGAGGCTCCTACTCGTTTTTCCATTTTATGTAATAACAACAAAAAAAAATAACGTAAACAGCAATGAATATAGTAACATCATTTTGCTGGTTTTCCCCCCACATAAACCCTCTATACCATTCATGTCATTATTAAAAATCTTGGATTTAATTCCTCATGGATTGAAATTTAGATTTTGCATATTATTTTAGGTTGGGCTTTCCATAATCCCATATCACATATATTAACAGTCTTTTGTGGCCCCTGAAGATAGATTCAAAACTGTTTTGAACTGCATGATCGTCAGCCCTTTGCAGCCCTCCCACGGTTTTACAGTGACCCATCAATATCTGGGAGTACCTGAAATGTCTTTGAAAAGGACTGCTAAACTGTCATCACATTTTTATTTTTCAGCAAAATTTTATTTTCCCCCCAAATCCATGTCTTTAAACCCTAGGCCCTACCAAACAGAAGAGGGAGGTTTTATAGATAGCATAGATATTTGGCCAGGCCTTTGGATCAAAGATTACGAACAGGCCAAAATGTGCATCTAATAAACCTAAAACTGCAAGTTGAAATTTGAGGAGTTTGCTTCTAATCCAGATGCTTCAAAAGCTAATTTGGAAAGTCCTGTGGAAATCTAGTGGACACATGAAGGAATTAGATGCGCCGTAATTGTGTGTAGCTAGCTATTTATGTGAAAGCAGGACTGGAAGGCTGCACAGCTAGCTCGCTCCTTCTCTGCTGCCCTTTCCCTTCCCCACTGGATGGCTGTGACTTCCAGATTTGGGGGTCAGTCTCTTGCCGGACCGTCCCCTCCCTCATCTGTGTTAGACGCCACTCTTGAGTTTCCCGAGCACCGCACACCTCACTCCGCGAGGATGTGGTGTCGTTGAAATACATCTCTCCTCCTCCTTTGAGCTCTTTGGCACAAGGACTGTCTTTTTCATCTTTGTATCCCAGTGTCTGGCACATGTGGTGTTCGGTAAATGGCCACAGTGCTTGTTGGAGTTCTTTAAAATCTTTGACCTCTAAAACTTCTCTGTTGTCGGAGGAAACAACCAGTCCTCACTTCTACAACGATGAAGTCTTGGTTCACCTAGCACACTATCAATTCAAAATTATTTTTAGTGCAAGAAGGACTCAGTTTGTTCCAGCTGCCCTTCAGTCTCCACGTGACCTTGGGCAAAGCACTGAGTTAATTTCTGCAGGCTTTGGTCTCGAATCTCTTAAATGAAGGCTTTCACTGGAACATGATCTCCATGTTCCAGTAAAGCTACCAAGCTCTGTGGCCTAGAGGCACGGTAGAGACCACAGTGGTCTGGTGGGCAGAGCTGAGTCTCTTCCCCATCACCCGGTGACCTGGGCTTACTGAGTATGTGTACAGCTCTGAAGTGACTTATGAAAATTGATGTGTATCATTTGCCAGGGCAAAACAAACGCTCTGCTTAAGTAACTTGGAATCTCAAATTTTAAATCACGTTTGGTATAATTTGTGTTAATTATAATTTGCTATATTCTCATGTGAAAATTGATTATTCACATGTGGTTTATGGGATCATTAGGATATCACAGATTAATCACGATGCTCTGTTTCCTCATCATCCTGGTTAATAGAATATTTAAAGTATTTTGGAAAGTTATATCTTGCAAATGTTTGAAATATAAAAATAAACTCAAGAGAATTTGAAGTACATTTTAAAGTTGGTCAGTGTATTTTATTTTGCTTCAAGAATGCTTAATAAAGAATATTAAATAAATGCAAAACAATTTCAACATTTTAAACTTTCTAACCTTTGAACACTTTTTTTTCCAACATGATCGAGGATTCTGATTTTTTACGTTTGTTTCTTATTATTTTTTTGGACCTTATGTACTTTCAGCTCACTTAGAGGCTAGCTTTGAGGAAGTCGAAAACCACCTGTTGAATCTGGAGGATTTATGTGGACAGTGTGAATTAGAAAGATACAAACATATGCAGTCCCAACAATTGGAAAATTACAAGAAAAATAAGAGGTGAGTTTGAAAAATTGGTCAACAGTATTCATTTTACATGCTGTTCTTTGTAAGTTTGGGCCGATAAAAGACAAAAGGTTGCAACATGTGAAGCTCATTCATAAGCTTTCCAGAACATGACCTTGAGATACATCTATATTTTGGTACCGCTGTGTGTTGCCATATTATGGAGATGAACTCTGTAAAGCTGAGGCTGGGATAAAAGGTGGAGGGGAGCAGAGCGACAGCCAGAGCTCTCCCAGAAAGCAGGAGCCCTGACCTCATTGTCTCCAAGTGGCATATCCTGAGCTGCTTTTTTCCTTTTCTTTCTTTTCTCCTCCTTTATTATTAGAGCAGGAAGAAAAGGAACCCGAGCCCAGGTTCCTGGGGTTTGAATCTCAGCTTTGTCAAGGACTGGCTGTGAGGCCGTAAGCAAGTTACTTGCTCTCTCTTAGCCTCAGTGTCTCTAGCCCATAGTGAGGATACTATACCCACTTCCTAGGGTTGTTGTGAGGATTGAATGAGGTAAGAGCTATCAGGCACAAAAAATTGCTCTGTAAGTATTAGTTAAAATCGTGACTGTTGTCACGGGGGGATAGGAACCGGATGCAGAAGGGAAGCCCAAGAGTGACAGTTTGTGGGACCAGCTGCAGCATCCCAGCTCATGCAGTGCCGCCTCGGGCAGGCTCGGAATTCCGGTCCACGGGGCAGGGTCCACGGTAGCTGATGAGAGTGCCTGAGACGGTCAGTGGTCTGCCCCGCGCAGAGCAGGGAGGGGAGCCATGAAGGGGGTTTGTGATGGTGCAAGAAAACGCAGGTCGTGGGACTGGAGTTGGGCTTAGGCCTGAGAGCAGATTTGGAGGGAGAGGAAGAAAGATTGGCTGGGCAGAGTATCCTGTTGGTTTTAAGTGTTCTTATCGAGGGTGTGGCAGTATGGGAGGACTGGGTTGTTGACACGGACAGGAAGTGCCAGTCACTGGTGTACAGGAGGAAAAAAGTGAAGCTAATATGTAGGTATTGTAGATTATCACACTGACTTCATAGTTTTCTAGAATAAAGCCAAAGGATGGGGCGGAGATGAAACTGAGTATTCTGAAATTTTGGATCAGGTCCATGTGTTTCTAGGACTGGGTCTTAAATGTTAATGAGCCATAAGAATCACCTGGGTAGTGTTTCACATGCAAACACCTGGGCTCCATCATTGGCCAGCCCCAATTCCCGAGCTAATTCCAATGGTTTTGCTGTAGACAAGCATTTCAGGCGATTCCGACACAGGTAGTTCAGGGAGAGACCCTTTAAGAGACGGCCAGGTGGGGGTGGGATTGGGTGGTGTGCAGGCTCTACATGGAAGAGCTTCCAAAGGAGCCCCAAGGGGGCTGTGGATAAAATTGTCTGCAGAAGTTTGTAAGTATGTGAGTTTTTCTGGAGGTGCTTTCTGTAAATTGCATTTACCTACAGAGATTACAGGAGGGTATGTGGCAGCATTAAGAATGCAGCCCTTGGGCGCCTGGGTGGCTCAGTTGGTTAAGCGACTGCCTTCGGCTCAGGTCATGATCCTGGAGTCCCGGGATCGAGTCCCGCATCGGGCTCCCTGCTCAGTGGGGAGTCTGCTTCTCCCTCTGACCCTCCCCCCTCTCATGTGCTCTCTCTCATTCTCTCTCTCTCAAATAAAAAAAAAAAAAAAAAAAGAATGCAGCCCTTGTCTGGGGCGGCTGGGTGGCTCAGTCGTTAAGTGTCTGCCTTCGGCTCAGGTCATGATCCCAGAGTCCTGGGTTCGAGCCCCACATCAGGCTTCCTGCTCAGCGGGAAGCCTGCTTCTCCCTCTCCCACTCCCCCTGCTTGTGTTCCCTCTCTCGCTGTGTCTCTGTCAAATAAATAAATAAAATCTTTAAAAAAAAAAAAAAGAATGCAGTCCTTGTCAAAGAACGAGTGGATGAGTGCTGGGACCCAGGGGGTTTCAGACTGAATCATGGGGCATGAGAGATAAAGAACTCTCTCTCCAGAAGGGAAGAGAACAACGCAAGATAGCAGAGTTAGAGATGGCTGAGTTGGAGATGTTTCGGCTAGTCTGCAATTTTAAATGAAAAAGTAGGGAAATACTCTGTTGTGAAAGTGTTAATCATGTAAGTTTATAATACAATAGGTTTCAAGGAGCATAGTAGGAAGGCTTAGAATGGCAAATTAGGAAATTTTTGTAGGAAATTGGGCAGTGTGGGTACAGGTCATGTGAACCCTAGAAGTTACATGGTTTCCTCATCTGTAAAATGGAGATAATAAAAGACCTTTTAGGGTTATGTTAAGGATTCAGTTGGTAAAGTGCTTAGAATAATGCTCAGCACATGGTGAATGCCGCGTCAGGCGGCCAGCACTGGCTGCCTTGTATGATTACTTGTACAGCTGAGTCGATGGGTATTCCATATTTGTACCAGTTATGTTTTCTAGCTAGTTGAACACAAGAACTATGTGAATATTGTGGTTTTTCTATTCATATGCGTTAATATTGATTATTTGAAACAGGGTATCTGATACTTTAGTATGTAAAATTAAATTTCAGGTTTCTGATTATTAGATAGAAAAAAAAGTAATAAAATTTGGAACTATGAGGTTTTATATCTTTCTTTTCACTTTCACCCAGTGACTTAAATGTATTCTCATTAATGCATTATAATTTATATGTTATAAAATGAAAATTAATTTTAGTGTTTGGAGAGCAGTATTGCCCATGATTTAAGTGAAAGCCAAAATGTACTGAACGGGTCTTAATAGGTTTCACGTAATTGAAATGACAGAGTATTTGTCTTTTAAGAGATAGAATTATGTAGTAGAAAAAGTGTGTCCTTAGAGTCAGAAGACCCAAGTCCTGGCTCCGTTGGTTACTGACTTGGGCGTTAAGCCTTACTAATAACAAACAGTTGATTAACACATACTTTGTATGCTGTATGTATTGTATGCTGTACTCTTACAATAAAGTAAGCTACAGAAAAAAAGGTTACTAAGAAAATCATAAGGGAAAATACATTTACAGTACTATACTGTATTTATCAGAGAAAAATCTGCATATAAGTGGGCCCATGCCGTTCAAACCTGTGTTGTTTAATGGTTAACTGAATATTGAAACAGGGGTTCAGTGAAAGTCTGCATATCGCACAGTAGGGCTGTTTGGCCATTTTCCTCACTGGCTACCAGAAGTCTGGCAGCCAAACGTACACCCCTGTGCAGATTATTGGAGGGCTCATCTGAGAAATTGACCAGCCCAAAAGAAAACACCTGCTCGTGTGGACGTTTGGGGGACTGCTCTGATGAAAGAGCAGGGTCTGCATCTTTGCACCCTGCATGCTGAGCTCCACACTTGTGTACATGACTTCTAATCAGCTTTGTGGTGCCTCACTCTTAAATATGAATGGATAGCTGAGAAATAATATCCAATGGAGGAAAGCTTCCAGAGTGAAAGGAACCAAAATAAATAGAAAATAAAGTAGTAATAATTAAAAAAAACACACAAAGGAATGAGAGACTATGAGGGGAGCAGAAGGAAACTTACAAACAGAAATCATAATATATGAGGCCACCTTGTAAGAGACCATTTTGCATTTATGAGACATGAACAGGAGACTACAGAAAAGGAATAATAAGAGACAAGAAAGAGCTCTTAGAAATAGTAAATTTCAACCGAAGCATTGGGAGATCATGTTTGGTCTCTATATAAGAGAGCACAAAGGTAAGAAAAGCTAAGAATGTTAAGAAAATTAGAGAATTCATTCCTGAGTCTCATTATCTGACTACTAGAAGCTTCAGAAAGAAAGGGGGGGGGGGGGCGCCTGGGTGGCTCAGTTGGTTGGGCGACTGCCTTCAGCTCAGGTCATGATCCTGGAGTCCCCGGATCGAGTCCCGCATCGGGCTCCCTGCTCAGCGGGGAGTCTGCTTCTCCCTCTGACCCTCCCCACTCTCATGCTCTCTCTATCTCATTCTCTCTCTCAAATAAATAAATAAAATCTTTACAAAAAAAGGGGGGAAGGCAAATTTATTAAAGAACTAATACCATATAACTGTTCAGAACTGAATGGTATGAATAAGTTTGAAAGGGCCCACCAAGTACCGGACAAAATGAGTGGGAAAAGATCCATTGTCAATGCATATTTTTATAAATTTCACTACACTAGGAATAGAGGTCATAAAAGTCTTCAGAAAAATCTTAAGGATCAGGAATCAAAAGGAACGTGAGCTTTTCAGAAGCACCGCTAGAACTGGAGAATGATTTTCACTTTTCATTTACTTAGCAACATTTTCATTAAGTGGGAGGAAATGGTCATTTCCAGGCGTACAGGGGCTCAGATTTCACTCATGCACACACCGTATCAGGAAACTGCGGGAGGATATGGTCCACTGACAAGGGAGTAAACCAAGGAGAAGGAAGAACCGACACAGAAGAGACATGAATTGCAGTGAGGATCCATCCAGTTCAGAAGAAAAACAACGGGAATGCTCAGGGGGATGGTAAAGAGAAGTTTGAACAGGCCTGGCAAGCAGTCCAGACTGAAGAAGGAAGACCTTCTGGAGGATTGCAAGAACAATGTTTCCAAGGGAAGAAAATGAAGCTAATAGGTTGTCTGATAAGCTTGATCATATTGAGAGTTCTGTAAGCTCTGACGGCAAGTCTTTGGTGATAGGTACGATGTTTTAAAAACGGGCCAAACAAGGCAACTCTTAACACTAGGGGAAAACACAGTTTTACAAGAAGAGAAATAAAACACCGTATGACTCAGTTACAAACCGTATTTATAGAACTCTGTAATAGCTAACGTGGAGTTAGGCCGGAACTGTGCTGTAACTTACTGGAAAGATGGTGGAGAAGCTTGCTGTATTGCAGGCTACGAGGGAGCGAGTAAAGAAAGCTCATCCTTGGCTTCCACAGCAGGGGATCAGTATGTTGTAATATTTAAAATAGAACAAAATGAATAATTATCAGTGTTGGCACATTAGAATAGAAATAATGGAGGTAAATACCAGAAATAGCCAAAAGA